TAAAAAAAAAAAGAAAAAAAAGAGAGGAAAAGAGAAAAAAAAACAACAAATTCCAAAATAAAACCCCCTCCGAAACCTTTCCTTGACAGCTGCAAAAAGAAAAACACAGGGATAACACAAATGCAAAAACCCCTTTGACATCCCCGGTGTCTGACTCAAAATGTGTTTTAAAAAATCAAAATGCTAAAAAAGGGCCCCAAATCTGGAAAATTCGTGCCTGAAGCACTGAAAGGCCCACTATCTGCCCCAAACAATTCAAACTATTGTTTAAAAAAAACCCCCGCCCTTTTTAATGTAATGGAATTTCAATACAAAATGTCCCAACAAAGCTACTTTTAACTAGTTCCAACCCCCGTCCTTTCCCGCCTTTTTCCCCAACTCCTATATGTTCCCTAATTGGTAACAATCTTGTCCCCAATTTTTTTTCTTTGCAATCTAAAAAACTTCTTGTATTTACACCCTCTCTATTTTGTCACTCTACAAAAAAAAGAAAATTTTTTGGGGGGTCACTCTGAAATAATATGTAATTCTTTGTAATTGACCCTTTTTGTCCCTTAAACTAAACCCTTTTTTTTTTTTTTACTTAAAGATTGAGTTAACTATTAAGAAGTCTTCTTGATAGTCTATGTCTAAGGGCTTAATAGTATTTTAAACCCTATGATTAGTTGCCCCAAAAAAGAATTGCATGATTACGGCTTTTTCTTGTGCCTATCATTTTTTATTAAACATTTTAAAAATATATTACCCTGGAGTTTCCCCGGAAGAGTTCCGGGGGGGCAACCCGCCCGGACCCGGTCCCCGTGCCAGGGCCCCCCTGGTGGACAGAGCCTGATCAAAACCCGGCTGTTTTTGCGGCTGCACGCCCAAAACCCAAAGTACGACCAAAAGCCCGGCTGATCAGGAAACCCAAATTTAGGTGCTTGTCCATGCCAGCTTTTAAGACTGCCAGGGGGGTTTTTGGAAAACCCCCCTTTTGATGCTGGGGGGCAGTTGAACAGTCCCGGGGCCCCCGACAAATTATTGTATGGGGCTCTTAACGTGCTAGTGACACCCCTGGGTTTTTATTGGGGGATTTGCATCTCTGCCAAGCCTTTTTCTTTTGTAGTGGTGATTTTGTGTGCAAATTCGGTTTCTAGTTTCCCCCCTAGGGTTTTCCCCCTGTATATAAAAAAAAGGATCTCCCCCGCCTGCGTTCCCCGGAATACAGGTTCAGGGGAACCCCAAAACGCTCCCAGTAATTGAGGTGTTTTATCTCCTTTATGCGCGCCGTGAAGGTTTTTCTGTACTTTTTTAGGTCAGCAATTTTCCCCCTGCCTTGAAAGGGGCTGTTAGTGTGGGAGCAATATTCCAGCTTAGATAGAACAAGTGACCCGAAGAGTGTCATCAAAGGGCTTGGCATAACAAAATAAACATTATTATAAAACCCAGGGTATTCCCCCAAACACAAATATTAAAAAATTTAAACCCCAGTCCAAAGGGAACCCAAACAGTCAAACAATGGGTATTTAATGTTTTTTAGGAGAAATTTCAAATTTGAAAAGAACTGTAATATCCCTAAGTATTCCTTTATATAATGTCGATGAAACAGTTAAAAAATAAAAAAAAAAAAAAAATACAGTGGGGAAATTTAGTACTGAAACAGTTCCGTAACCCCGAACAATTCCGGGATTCAAATGTTAATTCAGTAAAAAAATAGCTTTTGGTAGTCAACCATTTGCTTGGACTTGACCAAAAAAAAACTGCCCCGCCAGAACTTTCGCTTTTTAAAACCCTTTCATGTTTCTTTTGCATTTTTCAGCGTTTTTTTTTTATATTATTTATTTAAATAAGTCACCCTGGGGGCCCAAGGGGTTATTTATAACAACCCAAACCCAAAAAAAAAAATTGATTGGGAAAAAATTTTTTTTCAGTACTCAGACAGATCAGCATCAAACACCTTTGGAATGAATTAAGTTTGGTGACGAGGTTCCCCGATACCCCCCAAATTTGTTTTGCATATTCCCAATTGGGAGCAATGAAGGGCCAAGCTTTTTCCCCCTTTTTTAAAAGATAAAAACACCCTTTAAAAAATAAACAAAAGTCCCTATGAAACCAGGGGACATAATGGGTAAACAATGGGGGAAAAAATAGAAGCTGAAAAGCAAACATAACTTGGCGTCAATAAATTGCAAAATGTGAAAGACAGTATTCTGGCAAATTTTTACCTCTTGCCAAGATAATCATTTTTTTTTTTTTTTTCAACCCAAAAATTCCCCTGAAAATTTAAGGGGTTTTTTTCAAATCTGCTTTTTTTAGCCCTTTAAACCCTTTCAAAAAAAGAACTCTTTTTAATCTGTTTTAGTTTTTTGTTTTAATTTTCCCCCGGGTTGCCACAGTTAAAGGGTTAAGAAAGCCCAAGTTATAATGATCCCTACTGTACTTTTTAAGTCCCCAAAAAACATTTAATTGGGGGCAATTTTTTTTTTTTTTATATAGGCCCAAACGCAGTTTTTAAAATGTGACACCCCCCAGCCCCTTTAAAAAAAACAACCAATATTAAAATTTTTATTTTAAAAAGGATAAGTTTTAAATTTAAAAAAAACTTTTTTGAAAATAGCAAACTGGGGAAAACAATTCATTCGTAAAATTGCAACACTGGGAACACAATTCATTTTTGCATGGAACACTGGGGGGGTTTCAAAAATTTTTTCAAATTTTAATCTCAAGAAGGGGAAAAATTTTTGTAAGATGAAACACTAGGAAAAAGAATCATTTATAAGTTTAAACCCCGAAAAGGGAACTTATAGGATCAGGAATCGCGGGGGGGGAAAAACTAAAAAACCATAAATGAAAAACGAAAGAAACCCAAAATTTTTTTTTCCCATGCCAAATCAAAAATCGAGAACAACGTCTAGTATTGGGCCCCAAAATTTTAAAAAGATGGGTTTCCTTTCACAGATGACACCAAAGGTTTTGAAATAAACTACCCCAAGTCCCAATATGACTCAGTTTTTACCAAGCCGCTAACCAGATGAGAGTCGAAGAAACAAAAATTAATTTTTTTAAAGAGGGCCACAGAATTTGGTTAACACAAAAAATATTTTGAAAGTTTTTCCTGAAGCCAAAAGGGCTTCGAACAGGGGGTAAAGACATGCCCATGCACTCTGGCCCCCGGGGCCCGACTCAAAGGAAACCCCTGTTCATCAAAAAAAATCAAGGGAAACCCCAACACGAGTTTTAAACCCCCCTATGGAGAGAGAGCATGGAAAGGGGGTTGTCCCACAAAAAAATTACTAAAAACAACAGACATAGCCCCACTCCACAAAGGGGGGGAAATAAAGCAAAAAGCAAAGAAACTACAAAAACCGATAGCACTAACATCCCATATCCTAAAAATTTTTTGAAAGGGTCCTAAAAAGCAAGATTTCCACCCCTCTAGAAAAACCCACCATTTACACAACCCAGGGGAACATGGGGTTTTGAACAGGGCGCCCCCTGTCTTTCTCAACTATTGGATCATACGGAAAAAGGTCCTAGATTGCACCTTTGAAAACAAAAAAAATGCAGTGTAATTATACAGATTTGCAAAAGCCTTCCGGGGCAAAAAGTGACTGTGGCATAAAAGCGCACAAAAGCCTTTCTAAAGGTAACAGGAAAAAATTGGTAGAAGGAACTTTAAAATTTTCCCACAAACCCAAAAACAAAGAGTCAACAGGTTTAAAATCCGACAGCTACGGTTTAAAAAACTCTGTTCCACAAGGAAAAGTTACTCGCTCCCCTCTTTTTCCATCCTCATATTGACATTGACAAGGTGTCAGCCACAGCACCTTGTCTTCCTTTTTAGATGACACCCGAATCTTTCATGACAGTATCTTCCAATTTCAGACACTGCCCAAGGGTCCAGGCGGGACAAACAACCAAAAATTTTTAATGGGCTGCAAAAAACAATTGAAAATTCAACAATGAAAATTTCAATTACTCCGATATGGTAAACGCCCAGGAAATTAAAAAACCCCATCAAGTACAAAAAAAATTTTTCCGGGACAAAATAGAGGAAAAACCAAAGCAAAAACCTGGGGGTGATCATGTGTCGGGGGATTCACCTTCAAGGCCCATCTTGTATCAATCCAGCTCTAGAATAATGACAGGATGGATAATGGAACCTTCAAAACTGGGGGAGCCAACCCCATGATGACACTTTTCCCAGGTTACTTGTTCTATCTAGGCTGGAAATTGCTGCACACTAAAGCACCTTTAAAGGGCAGGTGAAATTGCTGACCAAAAAAAATTACAAAACCTTTCAGGCGCGAAAAATGGAGATAAAACCCCCTAAATTAAAGGGGCGTTTGAAGTTCCTGACCTGTATTCCCTGGAATGCGGGCAGAGAGATACATAAATTTTTAACCCGGGAAAAAATCCTAGAGGGACATCCCGAACTTGCCATAAAATCACTATAATGAAAAAAAAAGATTTGGCAGACATGCAACACCCCCCCCAATAAAAACAGGGGTGTCACTACACGTTAAGAGACAAACAAAAAAGTTCAGGGGCCCAAGACTGTTCAACGCCCCCAGCATACTTAAGGGGGTTACCAATAGGCCCCGGGCAGTTTCAACTGGCACTGGAAAAGCACCTAAAGTCTCCCTGACTAGCCGGGCGTGGCTCGTACGTTGGTTTTCGTGCAGCCAGCAGTAACAGCCTGGTTGATCAGGCTCTGATCCACCAGGAGGCCTGGTCACAGACCAGGCCGCGGGGGCGTTGACCCCCGGAACTCTCTCCAGGTAAACTGATAATGTAACTCCTTTGTAAGATTAAACACTAGAAAAGCAACTTGTTCATAAGTCCGGTTGCCCTTTCCCCATGTTCTGTTTGTTGTTAAAATCATATCTGTGCAAATAATAAAAATAACCAAAAACTTACATAATTCCTTTTCACCTCCTACTTAGCTAAATGCTACAAGTATCTGGTAAATCTTTAGAAAAAGATAAACCTATCAAAGACAGGAAGACAGAAATATATAATTCATTAGGTAATATTTATTAATGTATTATGCATCATGTATTAGAGGAAACACACAAGTGGTTCAGGATTGCAGTTTTTGCATTATTAACATTGTATGAAGGAGTTTAACAATTTTTCTCTACAAAATGAGTTGTGTAATAAATGTTAAATAAGACATTTAAAAAAAATTCAACCACTGAACCCATGTTTAGATATGAAAAAGACCTCCAAACCTGATGTGAAATAACAGCCCTAGATGCACTTATTTTTTACAAAGGATACAGCTCATTTTTTTTAGATGCAAGTCTAAGAAAGTATGTAATGTAATGAAGAATATCCAGTATTATTTTGTACTGGTACATGACTAGGAGGATAGACTACTATTTTTTAAAGTATCATGACAGCACTGCCTGATATACAGGAGTTAATATAGCAGTATGATAAAACAAATAAATATAAACTTAAAAAATAGTTCATTATCTATATTGCATTTGTACATGCTTTTCTTAAGAAGCATGAACATTTGTTCAACTAGTGTAAAAAATAGTCTACTTACAGGTATGGATATTCTGTAGATACAACAAAAATACTGTAAAAGATGGATGGATTATGATTACATTTATGGGAGGGGACATTAAACCCATATAGGTCCCACAATGCCTGGAAAAATGAGAGGTAATCAAGTTCTATCCAAACAAGGTGAGGTCACGTCCAATTCCTTGGATTAAAAATCACCTCACCAGTATCGATGAACCTCCCTTGAGGAGACATAATTATGGAAAATCCTACATGTGACATTGTTTTAGAAATATTTTTAGAGTATAGTACAGTTAATACTGTGCTGGTCATAAAATATTTTGTTATTGTAGTTACCTAATGTTTCTGAATTCTTCATAGTGTGTGTAGCTGATCAGTAGCCTCGGATATCTCGGAAAGCAATGCCCCGACAGAAGCAATGCTATGGGAGGGCTTGGGAGCTTCTAACCTCCCACCCACAAATTTCCTCTACCTCCCTTCCTCCAAAGCTACCCCAATAAAAGCTGTGATAATAATAATAATACTGTCAAAACAAGTCTCCATCCAGATAGCCACCCCTAAGGCCTCCCCCCCCCCAAGTAAATTATTTAGTACTAAACCTGTCCCCCCCCCAAGTAAATTATTTAGTACTAAACCTGTCCCCCCCCAAATCACAGAAATTATGCAGCTGCCCATGCCCTGACAAGTTCTGATCAAAGAATGAGAGGGATGGGAGGAAGAAAACATCGTGTGTTGCTAAGATTAGGCTTCCTCATAAGCCAATTTAAAAATTCTTTGACCTACATATGACATCATTCAATCCTTTGGGACTACAAACTGCACAACATGCTTGGAAACCAAGGTATATGAAAAAGGCTGAAACTAGTCATACAGAAAAAAAACAGACTTCAAAATTCAGTCAAATGGATTAATTTTGGAATATGGGACATGTCTCAGTTCAATCAATCAGAATTTTCTATCATTCAGACACTACACAAGCATTGGATTTAAAAAATGCATATGACAGGATGCACAGGAAAGGAATGTGGCAGATGTTGCAAGTGTGTGGAATAGGTTGTAAGATACTAAATGCTGTAAAGAGTTTTTACGAGGATAGTGAGGCTCAGGTTAGGGTGTGTAGGAGAGAGGGAGATTATTTTCCAGTAAAAGTAGGCCTTAGATGGATTTGTAACATCATCATGGTTGTTTAACATATTTATAGATGGGGTTGTAAAAGAAGACAATGCTCGGTGGGAAATGTCGGACATTTGCCACCGAGGCAGGGAGACCCAAAAAGAAAAAACTTTCATCATTCACCACTTTCACCATCATTCATACATAATCAGTCTTTGCAGAGGCACTCAGATATGACAGTTTAGATGTCACTCCAAACAGCCAATATCCCAAACCACTCCTTTAAACCTTTGAAACTGTCATTCTATGTTGATAATTTTTGGAAATTTTTTTTTCTTATGAAATGATAGAGAATCTTTTCCCGGTGGTAATGACACCAAAAGTATGAAATTTGGTCAAAAACTCACAGAATTACGCTCCCGCAAAGTTAGAGGTCTCGGCGACATATACGCATTGGTGATTTCGCTGACTTTGAGCTCTGTTTTTGGCCAATTCTGTTGTTCCAGTTGACCAAACTCATAGCTATTTCTTTAGAACTCCACTTTTTCTATCAGTTGAGTACAAGAAACCACCCATTTACCAATTTGAACTACCCAATAAAGTGGTCAGAAATTGGCAATTTGGCCAATTTCACGCAAATTAAAAAATGCCAATTTCAAAATAGGGTCCAGAATAAACAATGTAGACATTCTTGGCACTAAAATAACATATCCTCTGTTCATTAGTCACGTCTCTAGGCCCCTCTTATATTACTATTGCTTTCTATTTTGATTTTTTATTTATACAAAAAAAATAAAAAATTTACTCTTATGCAGACTACTACATTATTGTAAAAATGGTATAAATAATATCAGTGCACTAGTGAAAGAATATCAGAGTCCCCAGTTAAAGTGTACTGGACGTGTGGTGTGATTTGCTTACTGCTGAACATTGGTAAAAATCGAACATTTCCGCTACTTTGAGCTCAATTTCAAGGTCATTTTCATCGTGAAAGTAATCAAAATCATCTCTACTTCTGTCATATGTTTTCCATTTTATCACCTGAGACCAAGAAAACGAGAATACAACGATAAATACTATATGAAAATACGCCTCAAATTCACCGTTTTAATCCAAAAAAAATGGTCAGAGCTTTTTTTTTTCTCATTACGCAATGCGTGCTGCAGGATTTTTTTTATGTGGTGCACACTGATCACACAGACCCATTCTCTCACATGTGGGCCTATCAGCTTTCTCCCGCTTGATTTGAAGCCGCTAGAATTTATGCGTATAAATATGTACGTCAGAAATAAAGGTAGTAGGTTGGTAGACAGCAACCACCCAGGGAGGTACTACCATCCTGCCAAGTGAGTGTAAAACTAAAGCCTGTAATTGTTTTACATGATGGTAGGATTGCTGGTGTCTTTTGTCTGTCTCATAAATATGGGTTTTCTGCTATTTTCTTTCTAGTTCTTGTTTATTTCCTCTTATCTCCATGGGGAAGTGGAACAGAATTCTTCCTCCGTAAGCCATGCGTGTTGTAAGAGGCGACTAAAATGCCGGGAGCAAAGGGGCTAGTAACCCCTTCTCCTGTATATATTACTAAATGTACAAGAAGAAACTTTCGTTTCTCCTTTTGGGCCACCCCACCTCAGTGGGATACGGCCGGTGTGTTGAAAGAAGAAAGAAATACTTCAGAAACAGTGGCGCGTAAGACGTATATATACGACCAAAACAGTCAAAGGTTTAAAGTGTAGACATTGTACTTCCCACTTCCAGGACTCAAGTCTGGCTAACTGGTTTCCCTGAATCCCTTCACAAAATATTACCTTGCTCACACTCCAACAACTCATCAGGTTCCAAAAACCATTTGTCTCCATTCACTCCTATCTAACATGCTTGCTGAAAGTCCAAGCCCCTCTCCCACAAAACCTCCCTTATCCCCTCAAATACAAAATGGGAGTTGACACAGATACTTTTTGTTGATGATAATGTGCTTCTGGGAGATTCTAAAAAAAGGTTGCAAAGGTTAGTGGATGAGTTTGGGAGGGTGTATAAAGGTAGAAAGTTGAAAGTGAACACTGATAAGAGAAAGGTGATGAGGGTATCAAATGAGTTAGGTAAAGAAAAACTGGAAATCACACTGGAGGGAGGGAGTATGGAAGGAGTGTGTGTTCAGATATTTGAGAATAGACTTCTCAGCAGATAGATTTATGAGGAACAAGGTTAACCATAGAATTGATGAAGGAAAAAAGGTGGGTGGTGCACTGAGGTATCTGTGGAGAGACAGAACGTTATCCATGGAAGCAAAGAAGGTAATGTACAAGAGTACTATAGTGGTACCAACACTCTTATATAGGTGTGAAGCATGGGTTGTGAATGCTACAGCAAGGAGGAGGCTGGAGGCAGAGGAGATGTCATGTCATGGTGCAAATATTATGCAGAAAATTTGTAATTTGAAAATTAGGAAGAGGTGTGGAGTTACTAAAAGTATTATTCAGAGGGCTGAAGAGGGGTTGCTGAGAGAGGATTGAGCAAAATAGAATGACTTGGAGGGTATATAAATCTGTAGTGGAGGGGAGGAGGGGTAGGGCTCATCCTAGGAAAGGATGTAGGGAGGGGGTAAATGAGGTTGTGTGTGCATAGGGCCAGGACATGCAGCAGGCATGTGTGAACACATCAGATAGGAATGAATGAAGACAAATGATTTTTGGGACCTGATGTGCTGTTGGAGGGTGAGCAGGGTAATTTTGAGAAGGAATTCAGGGAAAACTGGTTAGCCAGACTTGTCACCTTGCCTCAGTGGGAGACAGCCGATGTGTTAAAAAAAAAAATTACATAAAAATGGAAACTACAGGTGGTGCCCTTCAGCATCAACTGTTGCCACTACTTTTTATTAATGTAAAAAGTTTTGGTACACATAATTAACCAAAAATGCTCCCAAGCCCCCATACATTTTAATAGATATTTTCAGTAATAGTAGTAGTCATGGTTGTTGGGATAAAAGGTGGTATGGTGTTTGTGATTAAAAGAGAGGGTTTAACAAACGCGGTGATGATAAATAGATAGTGTTGAAGGCGAAGTTGGTGAAAAGAATAGTAGATGTGAAAGGAAGGTAACAGTTGTAGGTGGTAGTTGAGGAAGGAAAGTAATGGTTGTTGGTTTGTAAAAAGAATAATAGTTGTAAGTGAAAACTGTGTCAGGAAAGTAAAGAGTGTTATGATAAGAATGTTCACAAAGAAGACTTCTTTGCATAATCCACCAGTGAAATTTAAAAAAAAATGGTGATTTTTATACAGCTGGGCTCAAGTACTGGAAATGGGAAGGGCAATGCCTGCACTTTAAAGGAGGGGTTTGGGATATTGGCAGTTTGGAGTGATATGTTATATATCTTTATATATGGTTCTAAACTGTTGTATCTGGGCACCTCTGCAAAGACAGTGATTATGTATGAGTGAGGTGAAAGTGTTGAATGATGAAAGTATTTTCTGTTTGGGGATTTTTTTTTTTTTTGGGTCACCCTGCCTTGGTGGGAGATGGCTGACTTCTTCTTCTTGTTCTTGTTCTTGTTGAAGAAAAAAAAATGTGCCAAAGCTAGTGGTGTGCCACATGCTGCACAGAGGTCACCTACAAGCAGATAGCCAGAAATGAGGCATATGCCCCCAATCCTCAATCGACAAAAGAACAGCCTAATAGTAAAAATTTAGAGGGTCAAACTTCCATGTCCTGCTGAATCTCATATAAGTTGTTGCTTATCTGCAGGGCCTCCTGTGCCTGCCATTTACTTAGGTCACCAGGGTTGAAGTCAGCTACTATATACAGTAACAGAGAAGATGAGAAAGGACAGCAAAATAACCCTAATCAAACTTAGTTGTGACCTTCATATGTTTGCTTTATTTGGAAACAATACCTCTAATACAAGATCACTGAAAGCCTCATACGAGTAAACCTACAATGAAAAAAAAAAAAGGTAAAGAAATTAGTGAAAAATAAAGAGACAATTTAAACCAACATTTACCATGTTATAAGTTTGCACTGTCAAGTCATAAGAAAATTGGGCAGAGGGACAAAAACAAAGAAAATACACTAAATAAAAGAAATAGCACATTTTATACACAAACACCAAGGAAACAAAATGTATATATATGAAACGAACTTATAATTACAGTATTAACCCTTAAACTGTCCAAATGTTGATCTACATTAGTACCGCTAGCACTCCAAACATAGCTCTATAATTTTTCCTGCCTCCAAATTTGGCATGATTGGCCTGAGATGCCTGGTCAGTACAGAATGGGTCTTACACTCGGTGTGTTCAGTATTAAAAAGAAATCTGGGACCACTTAGTACCTTGTGGGAGCACCAATTCAAGTGAGCGCCAGATAGAACAAAGAGCGTGGCAAACACCATGGAGTCACTGATGTCATGTCGTATTAACACTCCCCTTTTAAGAGGAAAGTGATGTTGACCCAGAGTTTAGTGGCTTCGAGATGGATGTGGCCACAAGTGGTTGAGGAAATATCAAAAACCTCAATAATAACCCATGTGCAACATTTGTGCAACACCCTTTCATTTTTGATACCACCCGTAGTGTCATCTTGCCAGAATGTCCTATAACCTATGCCCTAAGTAAAGAGAAATGATTCTGGAACATGTGTAATATGTATTCGGCAGGCTGGTTGGTTGGCTGACTGGCTGTCTCTCTGTCTGTATGTCTATTTCTCTATCTCTCTCTCACAGGTACACATAAGTACAGTTATTATACATAGTGCAAATTACCTAGGATAACCGAAAAAATTCCAAGTGCTATACAGTGCTTGTAGCTATAAGGCATAATAATCATGACTGGCGAGTAATATACATTTTCACTTGATAAGGAATCAGATGTGACGACTCTGCATAATGTGTAATACCTGTTGGTTGTTTACAAGCCGCTCTCTGAGACACAGAGACAAGCAGATTGAAAGACAGACACATTCAGGCAGACAGAAAGACAAACACACACACACACACACACACACACACAGGCAGACAGAAAGACAGACAGACACAGGCAGACAGACACATACAGGCAGACAGAAAGATAGACACACACAGGCAGACAGAAAGACAGATAAGCAGAGCTCGATAAATAAGCAGAGCTAGACAGATAAGCAGAGCTAGACAGATAAGCAGAGCTAGATAGGTAAGCCGAGCTAGACAGATAAGCAGAGCTAGATAGATAAGCAGAACTAGATAGACAGATAAGCAGCACTAAATGCAGAACCAGATAGACAGATAAGCAGAGCAAGATAGATAAGCAGACCTAGATAGATAAGCAAGAGCTAGGCAGACAGATAAGCAGAGCTAGGCAGACAGATAAGCAGAGCTAGACAGACAGATAAGCAGAGCTAGATAGATAAGCAGAGCCAGACAGATAAGCAGAGCTAGACAGACATAAACAGAGCTAGACAGATAAGCAGTGCTAAACAGACATGTTTGTGTGTAACAGTGAAAACAAATAAAGCCAGGGTTCTCTGGAGCACTGCACGCTCATCAAGTGTCGCTCCACTGCTGCACTGGAGAGACACTCGTCTTACAGTAATAATACACCATGCATCAAGGAGTTTTATATATACTCCAGCATGTCTCAAACATTGCTGGGACCTATAAATACTTCGTATATATTTCTAGATAATAGTATGTGATCAAGGCAAGTGAAAATGTTCACCTGTCAGTGTGTTTGTAACTATTTGAGTACTATTTCAGTACCTATTATTAGTGTCAGAACAAAGATTGGCTGTGAATCACAACAACTATTATAAATTGTAATTATCAGAACATAAAAATTGTTGTCAATTTGGAGGAATATATTGCGTATTTCTATACGTATTTTATACGTATATGCTAAACTGTTGTATTCTGGGCACCTCTGCAAAAACAGTGATTATGTGTGAGTGAGGTGAAAGTGTTGAATGATGAAAGTATTTTCTTTTTTGGGATTTTCTTTCTTTTTGGGTCACCCTGCCTTGGTGGAAGATGGCCGACTTACTGAAAAAAAAAAAAAAAAAATACATCAGCAACACTTCTGCAAGTGGCAGGACTCCATGTTGCAGTCAGGTGAGCATCCAGCGCCAACTTTACTGTCTTATATCTCGGTAAGTACTGATCCTAAAAGTTTTTTTTTGTTTTATTACACAGAAAACTGACCTCTTTAATTTAATTTAATTTTTTTTCAAAATATTCAGAGTGCTGGCAGTGAAAACATAGATCTACGTTTGGACAGTTTAAGGGTTAAAAAAATCTATTTTGATACAAATTGAAGATTATACAAAATGATGAACATCAACTTATAAACGGAACACAAAATGGTGAAGAAACAGAAGAGTAAAAATGGAGTTCAGGGTGGCAGAAATCAAGACTACAAGAGACTGTTAAAAAAAAAAAAAAGCCTTTCATCAAAAGTGGGCAGTTCTTAAAATGGGCCCCATATCACTCATTAACCCTTTCAGGGTCCAAGGCCAAAATCTGAAGTGGTGCCCCAGTGTCCAAGAATTTAAAAAAAAAAAAATAGTAAAGGTAATAATACAAAAAAGTACGAAATTTAATGGAAAACTGACGAAATTATGCTCTTGTGAATTTTGATGTGTCAGCGATATTTACGAATCGGTGATTTTTCCAACTTTGACTCCCATTTTAGGCCAATTACATTATTCCTGTCGACCAAATTCTTAGCTATTTCACTAGTATTACTTCTATTCTATCGACTGAGCACAAGAAATCACCAAGTCAACTGTTTCAACTACAAAATAAAGTGATCAGAAATTGGTAATTTGGCCAATTTAACACAAAGTTCAAAATATTCCAATTTCAAAATAGTGTCCAGAATAAACAATGTACGTATTCCTGGCACTAAACTAATATTTCCTCCATTCATTAGTTATGTTTTGAGGCTTTACAAATAAATTCCATTTTTATTTTTTATTCATGTAATGAATTTTTATTCACACCAAAAAATAGAAGATTTACTGTTATGCAATATTTTAATAATTGTATAAATATCATCACCACATTTGTGAATGTATATTAGACCCACCAGCTGGCATGTATTAGACGTGTGAGGTCGTTTGTTTACTCTTGAACATCGGCAAAAATTTAACATTTCCGCTACTTTGAGGTCAGTTTCAAGCCATTTCCAGTGCTAAAACCAATAAAAATCATCTCTATTTCTGTAATATGTCTTCCATTCTATCAAATGAGACCAAGAAATCGCAAATACAATTATAAAAAACATACAAAAAAACACTGCAAAGTCGGTTTTAATCGAAAATCATGGTCTCAGCTTTTTTCTCTCATTATACACAGTGTGCTGCAGGATTTGTTTTATGTGGTGCACACATACCACACAGATGTATTCTCTCATATCTAGGCCCAAATGTACCACTCACAGTTTATCAGAGTGAGCTGAGCTCATGGCGTAGATCTACGGTTTGGACCCTGAACGTAAAGCCGTAGATCTATGGGACGGACCCTGAAAAGGTTAATACTTTCACTTGTATTAATGCTTGTTACCTCTTATTCATTGTGTCTCATTGTTTCATTAAATTTTTGCAAATTTCAGAATAGTCATCTATGCCACTCATTTTTCATGTACTAATACTCTTCCACTTGTTGCATACATCCACAAAATTTGTCAAGTCAGACTGTAAACACAGTTGTCCTAGTTCTGTTTTTTGGAGAGCATCGTTTTTTAATATAAAATATTTTGTTCATAGGTTTAAATTGCCATTTTATCTACTTTACATGTTATTTTCAGATATAAGAGTTTTGGAGCAACAAGATCCAATACCTGCATTTTTTTTCCTTAAGAAAATGTCCAAGTAGTAGTTATATTGAGCTATCTTCTTAAAATATATCATTCACCAATATCCATACATGCTTTTATACTGCAATTTACTCTCCCCCATAATAAATGAAGTATTTTGTGATAAAATCTATACAACTGGTTGGCTAGCACAGGCAAAGCAAGCAACATGCTATTTTCAAGGCAATAAAAGTGCTGCTCAGTCAGTCAAGGTAAACAACAGTGTGTCTGGCCAGTAACTGGGAAAGTTGCTTCATAAACACAGCTTCATCCTTGGCTCGGAACACTACAATCTTGTTGACTCTGAAACTGCACTTTATGACTCACACGGGTTTGGTGCATCTTTTTAGTAATAATAAATTTTTAAAGTTAAATTTCTAGCAGAAACTTTTAAGATTTGATTCCTTGTGATGCTTTTTAATGTCTACTGATAAAGAGTGAACTGTACTTGAGTATTTAAAACTGGAATGAAACTTCTAAATGAATTATGTGAGTGCATGCATGCACACATATGTACATGTGCATGAGAGAGAGAGAGAGAGAGAGAGAGAGAGAGAGAGAGAGAGAGACAGAGAGAGAGAGAGAGAGAGAGAGAGAGAGACAGAGAGAGAGAGAGAGAGAGAGAGACAGACAGAGAGAGAGAGAGAGAGAGAGAGAGAGAGAGAGAGAGAGAGAGAGAGAGAGAGAGAGAGAGAGAGGAGAGAGAAGAGAGAGAGAGAGAGAGAGGAGAGACAGAGGGCAGAGAAGAGAGGAGAGAGAGAGAGAGAGAAGAGAAGGGGAGAGAGAGAGAGAGAGAGAGAGAGACAGAGACAGAGACAGAGAGACAGAGAGAGAGAGAGAGAGAGAGAGAGAGAAGGGGAGAGAGAGAGAGAGAGAGAGAGAGAGGAGAAAAGAGACAGAGAGAAGAGAGAGATGAGAGAGGGGGAGAGAGGGGAGAGGAGAGAGAGGAGAGGAGAGAGAGAGAAAAGGGGAGAGAGAGAGAGAGAGAAGAGAGACGAGAGAAGAGAAGAGAAGAGAGACAGAGAGAGAGAGAGGAGAGAGAGAGAGAGAGAGAGAGACAGAGAGAGAGAGAGAGAGAGACAGAGAGGAGAGAGAAGACAGAGAGAGAGAGAGAGAGAGAGAAGAGAGAGAGAGAGAGAGAGAGAGAGAGAGAGAGAGACAGAGACAGAGAGAGAGAGAGACAGAGACGAGGACAGAGAGAGACAGAGACAGAGAGAGAGAAGAAGAGAGAGAGAGAGACAGAGAGAGAGAGAGAGAGAGAGAGAGAGAGAGAGAGAGAGAGAGAGAGACAGAGAGAGAGAGACAGAGACAGAGAGAGAGAGAGAGAGAGAGAGAGAGACAGAGAGAGAGAGAGAGAGAGAGAGAGAGAGAGAGAGAGAGAGAGAGAGAGAGAGAGAGAGAGACAGAGACAGAGAGAGACGAGAGAGAAGAGAGAGACAGAGAGAGAAGCAGAGAGGAGAGAGAGAGAGAGAGAGAGAGAGAGAGAGTGGTGTGTGTGTACTCACCTATTGTGATTACAGGGGTTGAGTCATAGCTCCTGGCCCCGCCTCTTCGCTGATTGCTACTAGGTCCTCTCTCTCCCTGCCCCATGAGCTTTATCATACCTCGCCTTAAAACTATGTATGGTTACATAGTGTGTGTGTGTGTGTGTGTGTGTGTGTGGTGTGTGTGTGTGTGTGTGTGTGTGTGTGTGGTGTGTGTGTGTGTGTGTGTGTGTGTGTCTGTGTCTGTGTGTCTGTGTCTGTGTGTGTGTGTCTGTGTGTGTGTCTGTGTGTGTGTCTGTGTGTGTGTCTGTGTGTGTGTCTGTGGTGTGTGTCTGTGTGTGTGTCTGTGTGTGTGTCTGTGTGTCTGTGTGCGTGCATGAGTGCGGCAATTTGTCATTACTTACCTTTCTTTTTGTGTACTTATGATTGTAATTAACCACATATGAAGTCCTACATAAGAGTCCATGTCTAATTCTTAAGTAACATTTAAGCTTAATGAGTAGTTGCTTGAAATGCATTGCATAATTAGCTGCTTTCTTTTGTGCCTACTATTGCATTATTTCACATAAACTACATTATTTGTACGGCATAAAGAAATAAACATTATCATAAATATTATGTCTCCATCAAGGGCATAACCATGCCAGCGTGACCTATCGACAAAGGGGTGCTCCAAGGTTGTGTTCTCATCCCTCTGCCTTTCCTTACATAACATTTATGAAGGGGTTCAGGGAAACCGGCAGGCCGGACTTGAGTCCTGGAGATGGGAAGTACAGTGCCTGCACTCTGAAGGAGGGGTGTTAATGTTGCAGTTTAAAAACTGTAGTGTAAAGCACTCTTCTGGCAAGACAGTGATGGAGTGAATGATGGTGAAAGTTTTTCTTTTTCGGGCCACCCTGCCTTGGTGGGAATCGGCCAGTGCGATAATAAATAAAATAAAAAATAATAAATAACATCAATGATCTTTCAAATACATCTCAACAACTTAGGCCTATTCTGTTTCTCATTTTCCACCCAAATCCCAATTCTCTCAATAACAATGCTAATGAGCTCATAAAAATATCTACCTGGATAACTACCAATAAGCTCACCCTCAACACTGACAAGGCCTTTAGCATGATGTTTGGGAACAGAGCTACAAATGTCTGACTAAATGTTATGATCAATTATTCTCCCATTGCAAGACAAACAGAAGGAAAATTCTTAGTCTGCTCCTTGACAGCAGCTTGAAATTCAATACTTTCATTCAGAACTAAAAAAAAAAAAAAGTATCCAAATTAATTAGCATTCTCGCTAAGATATGTTACTATGTACCTCAAGCATCACTACTTACATTATAGTACTCTAATCTATCCCTACCTCACCTATGCTATTTGTGTCTGGGGATCCAATACAGCAAATTACCTAAAGTTAATAATAACACAACCAAAAGCAGTTGTATGAATGATCACCCAGTCTACTGCCAGACAACATACTCCCCCACTCTTATATGTACTTTACTTAATGTACATACAATTCACTCGTACTACTGTGTATATTACATACACAGAACAATCAATTCTAATATCAATCCTGCCCTGAAATTCTTTCTTGATAGCTGTAACAGAAGTCAGACAAAATACCAGACACAAAAATTTCTATTTCCCATATCTGACTCAACCTGTGTAAAAACTCAAAAGTTTTTCATTTTATTTTTTCAACACGTTAACTGTCTCCCACTGAGGCAGGGTGATCCCAAAAAAGAATCTTTCATCAACATTCACACATAATCACCGAAAATATGGAACTCTTTGCCCAAAGATTCCAAAGGCTCCTTGTCTGCCAACCACTTCAAAGCTACTTTTAAAAAATACCTCCTTACCTTAATGTGATCCTGTCAACAATTTATTATGCCAAACAAATTCTGAAATCTTGTCTTTCACCCAATGTTGTCCCTGTTCTTGTTCTATCCTTCCTTCAACCCTCAATTCAGATACCTAGCTTTATCTTTAATGTTTCCTTAATTAGAATAATTTATTGAATTACTGAACACCTTCAATATAGTATAAACTAAGTATTCTTTTTCTCATATACATGCTATGTGTGTATCAATGTCATTATAATTTAGTTTTAAGGCTACCCAAAATGTCTTGCATAACAATTACCTATGTCAATTATCCTAATTGTATACTGTACAGTACTCCACTTTGTAGAAATAAAGTTTTTTTTTATACATACATCAAAATCCCTGAATCCCTTCACTAAATATTACCCTGCTCACACTCCAACAGCTCGTCAGGTCCCAAATACCATTTGTCTCCATTCACTCCTAACAAGCTCACGCACGTTTGCTGGAAGTCCAAGCCCCTTGCCCACAAAACCTCCTTTACCCCCTCCCTCCGACCTTTTCAACCGGTTATTTTTATACAGCCGGACTTGAGTCCTGGAAATGGGAAGTACAATACCTGCACTTTAAAGGAGGGGTTTGGGATATTGGCAGTTTGGAGGGATATGTTGTGTATCTTTTTATGTATATGCTTCTAAATTGTTGTATTCTGAGCACCTTTGCAAAAACAGTGATTATGTGTGAGTGAGGTGAAAGTGTTGAATGATGATGAAAGTAATTTTTCTGGGGGGATTTTCTTTCTTTTTGGGTCACCCTGCCTCGGTGGGAGATGGCCAACTTGTTGAAAAAAAAAAAATCATCAAAATCGTATCACCACTTATACTTTCTTTCTCTCTGGGAAACTCAAAGAGCAGCTACTTCCACATGGCAAGTTCTGGGTATTTTGGGCGATTGTGTATCAATGTCGTGCAAAATAGTCGAGAGCTGCTCAATGTATATAATGTCTGTCTGAACAATACTTACCATTCCTAGAATCAAATCTTGAATCCCATTTCACAGGTACTGCACGATCCCTAGTAGTTTACTGCTTCCCTGTGAGTACGTATTTGTGAACTATGCAGGTACTGTGCACCTAAAAAGTGGCATGACATTAGTATAAAAGCCATGAATGAGTTCCTATTTAGTCTCTGAAAGCATTTCTTACATTTGTTAGTCTTGTAAATGTTGCTATGTTACCTGGTTTAGGCCTGCATCAGGAGAAAAGTTAAGTCCTGTCCAATTCCATTTCATTTATTATGACAGTACATTCATGGATAGCACTAAACCTAAGTGGGTTTTTCCCTTGACTTCCATTTATTTCTTGCACTGTGCTAATTTTTAGCTCTCACATTTGGTTTTCTATTTTCAATAACATTACATACATACCTAATATTTTTTGCAATGCACTCCTTTTCGTCTGTTAGGGATCTGGTAAAAAAAACCACTGGTTCTTTTTGTGCTTCATACTTAGTTTCCCAGGTAAGAATTTATCACTGTTGCCTACTAGCACTGCTGTGTGACAGTAAATTACCGAGTACAAGTTCCCTGCTTCACTGACTCTGTCTTATCTATCGTTAAAACTGCATGTGGTGTTGGCTTTTAATCACCTCATGCAAATAATTCCATACCTCAACCATCATGAGGCTAAAGAAGTCTTTCCTAACACCCTTGTATCTTATTTGCTTCCACGACTTCCTTGCTCGTGTGTGGACGAGTAGCAACTATAGTCGGGCACAAAATCTAGCTTGACCAGGGCTATAAGAAGTTTGAAATTTTGGCTTGTTCAAAGGTATGGTAATTAAAAAAAAATCATAAGACAAAAATGAAGAGTGAAAAAAAAAAAAATTATGCACCAATTTCTTTCCTTATGCTCTTATAAGAACATATCTAACTCATGACTTACAGGGACAACATGTGAGTTATGAGTCAGGTATGTACTAGACAAAGTAGAAACATTAACACCTTCACTGTCAGAAGCCCCAAAATTAATAATGTTAAAAAAAAAATATATATATTTTCTTTTGAAATGGTACAGAATCTTTTTCTAAAGGTAATAACATCAAAAAATATGAAATTTGATGGAAACCTTACAGAATTACGCAGATGCAAGTTAGTGGTCTAGATGCAATTTACACATCAGCGATTTCATCCAATTTGAATCCTATTTTATACATACGTCTTTCCTCAATTCGACCAAATTCTTAGCTATTTCCTAGTATCCCTTCCATTTTATTGATTTATGAAAAGAAACCACTAATTCAACTATTAGAACTACCCTATAAGCAACAAAGAAGTTGAAAATTTGGCCAATTTCACACAAAATTACAAGATTCCAATTTAAAAACTGAGTCAAAAATAGACAATGCACAATGCAGACACTCCAGGCACTAAGCAATGCTTCCTCTGTTCAATAATCATATTTTCAGGCTTCTCCTGAGGATATGATTTATGAACATTTTGAATAAATCTACGAATAACCATAATTCTCAGATAAAAATATAACCAGAAATGATTAGTTATGGTTTACAGCATCCCAATAATTAAATCAAACCAAGTAAAATCCCATAAAACAGACCAGGAAAATTGTCAAAAATTGAATATTTTTGCTCTGAGCATGATTTCAAACTACTTTTGGTCCTGAAACCAATCAAAATTATCACTATTTCAGTAGTATGTCTTCTATTCTATCAAATGGCGCCAAGAAACAGCTAAGAAAATCATAAAAACTATCCTAGTTGCTACTGTAAACCAGACACATCGCCAGAGGTTTGCTTTCCCATCATGCACCACGTGGTGCAGCACTGAAAGGCCAAAATATACTACTCACAGCTTACTTGAGGAAGCTGAGCTCAAAATGTAACTCTACGTAAACAACCCTGGTGTAAATAACAGACATACAAGATAATGAAAGGGTTAAGAACAAAAATTATCTGAACAAAGGCTCCATTTGCATCCCGAGTTACATGTATGTATAGCTTATTGGCTAGTGTTAATGACTTTTGTATTTATAATTATATTAGGGTCCAAAATGTTTTTCTTGAAATTTAAATTTTTCCCTTCAAGAATATCATTTTCTAAGGACGACTATCAAGTTTCAGATTATGAGAAGAATCTGATTCTGAGGTTATGGTATTCCACTACTTATTTGTAGCAAGGTAGAGAGGTAGAGCTAAGCTTATGGTGCCCTGTCTTCATGACATTGTTTTTCAAGTGTCCAGTAGTTGTAGCACTTACTGCCTTCTCTTGTAACCCATTCCAGTGTTCTACTACTCTGTGTATTAGTTTTAAATATGTATGTACATGAACTCAGATTAAGTTATAATAAGCAACTGTCAATGAATAAACGGAAGGATGGATGAGGGGATCGAACTGCGGTCAATGAACTGATAGTCCGACGTCTATCTTTCTGTTCATTCATGTATGTACAGTGCATCATTAAAGCAAACTTGGGTTACACATTAGATGTACACATCTGATAGTCATGGTAAGCACCATTAATGTGACCAGTAACTGGATAAGTGACTGTATGAACACTGCCTTGTCCTTGATTAAGAGGACTTCAATAAACATCAGACTCTTCCTGACAGGGTATACCCATACCCACATAAATAAAGGAATTCAATATTTTTCAATATATAAATAAGAACTTTCTTTTGCTTTACAAATTAGTTTATGTCAAATAGCTTACTGTACATTCTACAAATGCTATTAAGCCAATAAGAAAATATTATCACATGCATCTAGTTATCAACTCAAACATTAATAAAAATACAAAATTCCTATGTAATCACAGAAGAAAATTTTATCATTGCTCTTGTTCAATATCTGACCATGAAAACTTATTTCGACCCATATTCAAGAAGTGCTCCTTAAAGTGAACATCTTGTGATGATAACTTCTTGAATCGTTGTTGTAGTAGTTCTTTCGCATACTCGTAGAGTTGAACATCTAAGCTGTTTAACTCTTCAATACGTTTGAGAGTTTCAGAGTCAATGTCCTGTAGAGCCAAATCAGATATGGTCTGGTTGTGCTGTTCAAAGCGAACTCCAAACCTGTGAAAAGAAATAAATAAAATGTAACTGAAAAAATGCTCGTTCTGCAACTTGTATGTCATCTGCCCTAGTAACTATGACTTCATTTTCAAAAGACGGTCAGCATTTCTATGTATGGTACTACAGAATTAAGAAAAAATGTATATGATATTTCAATATAGTGGAACCTCGACTTATGAGCGTCCCAACATACAAGTTTTTCGGGGATTTTGAGAACACCATAGGTTATACCATATTGAACCTTTCTTTCAGTGCTGTGGTGCACAACACAGCATCAGCTGTAGTGACCCTATAACCCAGCAGCAAAAATTTTGTACAAATTTTGTACAAATTTTCTCATTCAGTAACTTCTTTGCACTTTATTATTAATCACCAACATATTCAACCACTGTCAAAAATTCAACCAAGTAAATGACAAATGGCACAGGAAATGTGTAATTACAGTGAAATTATAGGTTATTAGCTTTCACTGTCTCCCACCTTAACTGCCTGACATATTCAATGAACACCTTTAATGCTTCAATTCTATATGAATCCATAAGAGTTTGACACTTAATTTTCTTCTTGGCTCTCTATCACTGCTAGTGTTCCTCCTGGGTGCCATAGAGATGAGAGGAATGAAAAGATCAAAAATCAATTGAATAACACACAGTTGAGTAGGTACTGGAATTATACACAGAGTGGCAGGCTGTGTGGATGTTTGTTTACAGCAACCTATAGTGTTCCAAAAGGAATTAGCCTGTAACAAGGGATGAGGCTTATTTCAACCCAAATTTATGGCAAGGTACAGCATGTAATACCATTTTATTCCTGTGCAATACCAAAATGGAGAACAAAACCTCATGTTAAATTTATCGTATTTTACAGTAACAAAGACGCGATTTTTTCCAAAAATAAGTCTTGAAAATTTACCCAGTGTCTTGGAGGTCGAAGTACAGCTTATTTTTTTCTTACAAAATATAGCTAATCTGAATTGGGGGCCATCCTTGACACCAAAGAGTCTTGTTTGCTTTAAAATACAGCATAACATGGTACACAAGTTCACTATTTTATATTTTAAGTTATTGTTCCACAAAATGCATTCACATCTTAAGTATCATTTTATGCATGTAGAAAGGGATCATATATATTTAGCAGACTAGTCAAGGCCTGTAGAAATAAAAATTACAATAAAATCCTCTAAGGTGACATGACATAGCCATTTTTGTATAAATGTGTAATGAAAACTTCTTACCACACAAAAAAGCCTTGACAGTACATTCTGTAAACATGCAAGCATCAAATAATGCATAAAATCAGGGAATAAAAAAAAAAAAAAGCCACAATACCGTGACTGGAACGATATACAAATAACTCGCACATAGAAGAGAGGTGCTTACGACGACGTTTCGGTCCAACTTGGACCATTTACAAAGTCACACTAATGAAATGGTCCAAGTCGGACTGAAACGTTGTCATAAGCTCCTCTCTTCTATGTGCGGGTTATTTGTGTACAAAATCTGGGTAGTGAATGAAATTAATTATTACGCAGATGACAGAGTGGGAGAGGCACTGTCAAGAAATTTTAATGAAAATAAGAAAAAATTTTGGAGTGAGATAAACAAGTTCAGAAAGCCTAGGGAATGAATGGATTTGTCAGTTAAAACAGAGTAGGAGAGTTAGTAGATGGGGAGAGGGAGGTATTAGGTAGATGGCGAGAATATTTTGGGGAACTTTTAAATGTTGAGGAAGAAAGGGAGGCGGTAATTTCATGCACTGGCCAGGGAGTATACCGCCTTTTAGGAGTGAAAAAAGAGAAAGAAAATAAGTTGGGGAAGTACGTGAGGTTTACTAGAATGAAAGGGGGTAAAGCGCTGGAACTGATGGATCATGACAGAAATGTTAAAAGCAGGGAGGGAATAGTGGTGGAGTGGTTGGTAACTTTTGTTTAATAAATGAAATGAAAGAGGGTAAGGTATTAGGATTGGTGGAGAGCAAGTATAGTCCCTTTATAAAAAGGAAGGGGGACAAAAGAAATGTAAAAATTATAGAGGAAAATAATTTAACCGAGTATACCAGAAAAGTGTACGGTAGGTTATTATTGAAAGAATTAGAGCAAGACAAGAAGTAGGATTGCGGATGACAAGGAGGTTTTCAGAACGGTAGGGGATGTGTAAAATCAAGTGTTTACATTGAAGCATATAATGTGAACAGTATTTAGATAAAGGTAGGGAAGTTTTTATTACATTATGGATTTTTCGAAAAGGCATATGATAGAGTGGATAGGGAGATGTGGCAGATGTTCAAGTATAAGGAATGGGAGGTAAGTTACTAAATGCTGTAAAGAGTTTTAAAAATTGAGGATAGTGAGGCCAGTTAGGTGTGAAGAGTGGGAACTATTTCCCGTAAAAGAGATCTTAGACAGGATGGTAAATGCACCATGTTTGTTTAATATATTTATAGATGGGTTGTAAAAGAAGTAAATGCAGATGTTCAGGAGAGGGGTGGGATTAAATTATGGGGAATCAAATACAAAATGGGAATTGACACAGTTACTTTTTGCTGATGATACTGTGCTTATGGGGATTCTAAAAAAAATTGCAAAGGTTATGGATGAGTTTGGGAGTGTGTGTAAAGGTAGAAAGTTGAAAGTGAACAAAGAAAAGAGTAAGGTAAAGAGGGTATAAAATGATTTAGATAAAAAAAAATTGGATATCAAATTGGGAGAGGAGGAGTATGGAAGAAGTAAATGTTTCAGATACTTGGAGTTGACATGTCGGCGGATGGACTAATGAAGGATGAGGTTAATCAAAAGAATTGATTAGGAAAAAAAGGCGAGGGGTGCATTGAGGTATATTTTGGAGTCAAAAAACATTATCTATGGAGGCAAAAAAGGGAATGTATGAAAGTATAGTAGTACCAACACCTTTTATAGGGGTGTGACTCTTGGGTTGTGAAGCAGCAGCGAGGAGGCGTTTGGAGGCAGTGGAGATGCCCTGTCTAAGGGCAATGTGTGGTGTAAATATTATGCAAAAATTCGGAGTGTGGAAATTAGGAGAAGGTGTGGTTTTAATAAAAAATATTAGTAAAGGGCTGAAGAGGTGTTTTTTGAGGTGTTTGGTCATCTAGAGAGAATGAAAATGGAGAGTATTTAAATCTGTAGGAAAAGAAGGTGGGGTAGGGGTCGTCCTCGAAAAGGTTGGAAGGAAGAGGTAAGGGAGGTTTTGTGGGCAAGAGGCTTGGACTTCCAGCAGGCATGCATGAGCGTGTTCGATAGGAGTGAATGGAGGCGAATGGTATTTGGGACCTGATCTGTTGAGTGTGAACAGGGTAATATTTAGTGAAGGGATTCAGGGAAACCGGTTATTTTTATATAGCCGGACTTGAGTCCTGGAAATGGGAAGTACAATGCCTGCACTCTAAAGGAGGGGTTTTGGGATATTAGCAGTTTGGAGGGATATGTTGTGTATCTTTATACGTATATGCTTCTAAACTGTTGTGTTCTGGGCACCTCTGCAAAAACAGTGATTATGTGTGAGTGAGGTGAAAGTGTTGAATGATGATGAAAGTATTTTCTTTTTGGGGATTTTCTTTCTTTTTGGGTCACCCTGCCTCGGTGGGAGACGGCTGACTTGCTAAAAAAAAAAATATGACAGTGGATAGGGAAGCAATGTGGCAGATGTTGCAAGTATATGGAATAGGTAGTATGTTACTAAATGCTGCAAAGAGTTTTTATGAGGATGGTCAGTCTCAGGTCAGGGTGTGTAGAAGAGAGGGAGATTACTTCCCAGTAAAAGTAGTTCTTAGACAGGGATGTGTACTGTCACCATGGTTGTTTAATATGTTTATAGATGGGGTTGTAAAAGGTAAATGCTAGGGTGTTGGGAAGAGGGGTGGGATTAAATTATGGGGAATCAAATACAAAATGGGAGTTGACACAGTTACTTTTTGCTAATGATATTGTGCTTATGGGAGACTCTAAAGGAAAGTTGCAAAGGTTAGTGGACGAGTTTGGGAGGTTGTGTAAAGGTAGAAAGTTGAAAGTGAACATAGATTAGAATAAGGTGAAGAGGGTATCAAATGATTAGATAAGAAAAATTGATATCACATTGGAGAGAGGAGGATGGAAGGAGTGAAATGTTTTCAGAATTGGGAGTTGACTGTCAGGGGACAGGCTTATGAAGGATGAGTTAACCAAAGAATGATGAAGAAAAAAAGGGCCCGAGTGTGGGGGATGTAATGTGGAGCAAAAAGTTATTTATGGGGCAAAGAAGGGAAATTTTATGAAATATAAGTGTAACAACTCTCTTATTATGGATTGTGAATTTGGGTTGTAAATGTTTGCAGCAAGAGGCAGTTGGAGGCAGTGAGATTCCTGTCTAAGGGCGATGTTGGTGTAAATATTATGCAAAAATCTGAGTGTGAAATTAGGATGGTGTGGATTAATAGATATTATTCAGAGGGCTGAGGAGGGGTGGTTGAGGTGGTTTGGTCATTTAGAGAGAATGGATCAAGGTACAATGACATGGAGAGCATATAAATCTGTAGGGGAAGAAAGGCAGGGTAGGGGTCGTCCTCGAAAAGGTTAGAGGGAGGGGGTAAAGGAGGTTTTGTGGGCGAGGGGCTTGGACTTCCAGCAAGCGTGCATGAGCGTGTAAGATAGGAATGAATGGAGACAAATGGTTTCTGGGACCTGACGAGCTGTTGGAGTATGAGCAGGGTAATATTTAGTGAAGGGATTCAGTTAAACCAATTATTTTTATATAGCTGGACTTAATTACTGGAAATGGGAAGTACAATGCCTGCACTTTGAAGGAGGGGTTTGAGATACTGGCAGTTTGGAGGGATATGCTATATATCTCTCTATGCTTCTAAACTATCATATCTGGGTGCATCTGCAAAAACAGTGATTATGTATGAGTGAGGTGAAAGTGTTGAATGATGATGAAAACATTTTCTTCTTGGGGATTTTCTTTCTTTTTGGGTCACCCTGCCTCGGTGAGAGACGGCCAACTTTTTGAGGAAAAAACAATATCATGGCTCAGGAATGCATCTCCAAATATAACATGGGTGTCATGAGAAAATAGGTATTGAGTACCAACACCTAAGTAATGAAAATTTTTCAGAAATGCCTTAACACTAAGTTGGAACCCTACATTCATTTTAGAAATACAGGCTACACACACAAAATTTGTTAAAAAGTTTAACATACTTAAGATTGAATGTTTCTTCAAACAAATATTGGCTGATTTCTTGATACTCGGTCAAGCCAAAGAATGCCATCCTCTTCAGGTTATTCTTAGCTGACAAAAGCATTGCCTTATTCCGCTCCTCTGGCTTCATCATCGACTTGTTGTAGCACCCAACCAAGGACAAATCTGTAGCAAAGGCAGGTATCAAAATTATATAATTACTGCTAAAGTGATAATTTCTTTTGCCATCTTCAACATACTATAAAATCATTAAAATTTTATTAGATACCATTCATTTTAGTCTTATTCAATTCATAAAAATGCAATCTTGCATTCTTTAAGATTTTTTTCAAAATCTTGCTACACAGGAATATTAATTTCTGGGCCTTCCATAATTGAAGGGTTAAGAATACTGAACATATTATACAGTGGAACCTCAGCTTACGAACGCCCCACCATGCAAATTTTTCAGGATACAAACCGTCGTTTGGTCGATTTTTTGCTTCTGGATACGAACAAAATTTCAGGATGTGAACTTCCCCCTCAAGGGAGGTTCTTTAAATAAATAAATAAATAAATAAATAAATAAAATATTTATTTCTCTGCAAAGGTTACAATGTGTGTTTACATATCATAATATGACTGGAGCAAAGAAAGCCACTATAACACCGAGGCATTTCAGGCAGACTTAATATGTACTAATAGACTACTAAGTCTAGACAGGTGAAAAGTGTATTAGTAGTGGTTACCAATGTTTTGCTGATGGTGGTGCCAACTATTGACAGGCCTTCTGATGTTTCTCCTTACTGTTGTTATTATTATTGTTATAATTATTATTATTATTAGTAGTATGTACATGGTGATGGGCTCTTGATCTAAGGAATTGGATCTGTGCTCTGGTTCCCTAAATCAATAATAATAATAATAATAATTATAACAGTAATAATATTACAATATAATAGTAATAATAATAATATGTTGTCATTTTTAGACATTTTTTGTAACTTTTTATTTCATATTTTTGTGCCAAATGCTTAAAAATACAAATTGGTAACCCTCTGGGTGGCTGTACGTACTGCTAGACCACGGCTATCTCAGTGCCAACCAAGGGTCAAAAGGAAGAGAAGGTGTGCCGCTCTGAGTGACCGCAGCAAACCCTCGAGATGCATAATTTTGTCTTATATTGTACAAATACACAATGCCTCGCCCAAAGAGACAGTATTTGCGTACAATCAGCAAGAAGCTCAGGAAGTGATTAGAAACTATGAAAAAATCTTGAGAAATGAAGAAGGCAGCAGCATAGAGTGAGGCAGGTGGCTGCTGCCACCACCACCACCACCACCACTGTGACCACAGTTATTACGTCTTCACCTACATATACATCTGGCTTAACCACACCTGTGGTTACATATGTGACAACCTCACCACTAATCATAGATAAACACAAGCTAGGTGTGGAGTTATGGATTGAGAAGATACTAGAGTGAGAGAGTAAATGGCAGATGCTTTCTGCCACTGCCAGTGTCACCATCACTTTCCATATTATGGCCTATTTTATTCATTCTAGAGTATGTATCATGTTTCTATGTTATTAATATTGTTTAATATGTCATATTAGATGAATTGTGATAAATAACTAAGCCGTAGAGTTGATATTAGCATTATTTTTTCATGCCTCCTGAGAGGCTGGAACAGATTAATTGCATTTCAATTAATTTAAATGAGGAAAATTGACTCTGCATACAAACAAATTGGGATACGAACAAGGTCACGAAATGGATTAAATTCGTATGCCAAGGTTCCACTGTACAAAAAATTGAAAAATTGTAAAAGAATTACAGTATGAGCATTTATTAAAAAATCAAGCTATCAGTGTATCAATATTCATTAAAGACCAAAAATGATTAATGGTACAGTAATTTACTAAATCTTCAACCAGAATGTAAGCTCTACAAAGATAAAGAAAAATTGCAACATACATACATACCTGCCAACATACGGGTCTGCGTTAAAAGCTAGATTGCTCTCACAGGCCAAAGAATTCATCTAGGTTACATTTTCCCATGTATCAGTTTCATAGCAGAATGGAACTTCTTCCCTGAAATTTGGGGAATTGAATATCACTTCAGTTTTAAAATCAAAAAAGATTTACTATTTTTATAAAGAAATGGTCAACTTTTCACACAAGAATTAGATGTGGCCCAATCATAACCTCATCAACTCAGCCTGATGAAGGAGTGCCTCAGGGCAGTGTGTTCTTGGCCCTTTTCTCTTCTTTGTGAACATTAATGATCACCCCAACACATGTCGTCTCCTTGAACCTTTTCCGTTCGCTGATGACAACTTTTGTCATCTCCAACTCAAATCCAACTTCTCTCAACAACACTGTTAATGATGAGCTCCTTAACCCTTAAACTGCCCACGCAGATCTATGTTCACATGCGTAGTGCTCCGAAAGTCGATCTACGTTTTTTTACATATTTTCAAATAAAAAAAAAAAGGTAGATCAAAGTTTTTTTACACGTTTTCAAATGTAAAAAAACAAAAAGATCTACTGTTTTTACATACTTTCAAATGTTGAAAAAATGTAGATCTACATTTGGACAGTTTAAGGGTTAAAATATCTACATGGATAACCACAAATAAGCTCACCCTTAATATTGACAAAACCTACTGATCACTGGTACTCCCAATGTAAGACGAGGGTAAGTTTTTCGGTCTACACTTGCACTGCAACTTGAAGTTTAATGCCCACATCTAGCACATAACTAAGGTCTCCAAAATAGTAGACATCCTCTCCAAGATACACTACTGTGTACCACAAACAACACTAATCTATCCTTATTTCACCTACGATATTTGTGACTGGGGATCTACCATCACCTAAAACCAATAATAACTCAACAAAATGCTGCAGTGTGAATAATTATCCATTCCAGTGCTAAATAACACATTCCCCAAGTTTTCAAAAGTTTAAACTTATTTAATATGAACAATATGAAGTCACTACTGTTATATAAAACAATTATATAAAACAATCACTTCCAATGTAAATGCTTCTCAAACTTTTCTGGGCCTACTATTATACAGAAGAATCAATTCCAATGTAAATCCTTCTCAAACTTTTCCTTGATATCTGCAACAGAACACACAGGCATAATGCAAGACACAAAAATCCCTCCGACATCCCCGGTGTCCGACTCGACCTGTGTAAAAACTCAATGCCCATAAAATGTTTTAAGATCTAGAACTCCTTGCCTGAAACAATTACAGGCCTCCCCTATCTGCCAATCAATTCAGAGCTATTGTTAAAAAGCACCTCATCTCCTTAATGTAACTGAAAGAGCAATACACTATGTCATTACAAAACCAACTTTCATCTAGCCTTCCTCCAACTGCCATACATAATTGGTAACATATCTTCTTCCATTTTACTTGTATTATAATCTAAGTAATTTGCTGTATTATATTCACTACCTCTATTCAATCATTCCACAAAACTGATCATTGAATCAGTTTAAATAATATGTAATTCTTCTGAAACTGACTTTTTATCACTATCTACCTTTCTTACTGTACTTTTGATTGTAGTTAACTGCAAAGGAAAGCTTACTTAATAATCTATGTCTAGCTCTTAGGTAACATTATGATTAGTTGCCCAAAATGCATTGCATAATTAGTGGCTTTCTTTCGTGCCTACTATTGTATCAGTTCATTGAGACTAAATTATTTGTATGGCATAAAGAAATAAACCATTACCATTAGTATTAACCCTTTCAGTGGCCATCACACAGAAATATATACAAATTTTAGCAGCTTCAAATTTAGTGCAAGAGGCCTGGTAGGCTATATATGAATTAACTGGTCTGCATGGTCAATGTGTACAGTATACAAAGAAGAGGGGCCCCTTCAGTGCATTGTGAGAATGTCATGTATAGTACACTTTGTTCCCATGCCACTCATTCGCAAATGCCTCACTGCCAGGTGAATTAAATGAGTTTTATTCCCAGTGACAGCTCCAACAATATGTATTATGGAACCAATGATGAGTTTTTTGGTTCTGAACAAATAATGGCCAAAACTGACACTCAGGACACCAGAAATAACACAGAGATGATCACTGAATACCCACTCATTTGACGTTGAGTGATCACTTTATAACACTTTCAGCTAGAGAAAAGAAGAAATGGGCTCAGAAGAGATGTGATGTCTTGGCACATAACAAGGCACCCACCGAAGCAAACACACACACACATACAAGGTAGGTGCAGAGTGAGTGTGAGGGGTCTGAGTGTGTGTGTGTGTGTGTGTGTGTGTGTGTGTGGGGTGGTGTGGTGTTGTGTGTGGTGTGTGTGTGTGTGTGTGGGGTTTTGTGTGTGTGTGTGCATGTGATACTCACCTATTTGTACTCACCTATTTGTGGTTGCAGGGGTCGAGTCATAGCTCCTGGCCCCGCCTCTTCACTGATTGCTACTAGGTCCTCTCTCTCCCTGCTACATGAGCTTTATCATACCTCGCCTTAAAACTATGTATGGTTCCCGCCTCCACTACTTCACTTTCTAGACTATTCCATACTTGACTACTCTATGACTGAAGAAATACTTCCTAACATCCCTTCGATTCATCTGAGTCTTCAACTCCAAATTTGTGACCTCTTGTGTCTGTGTCCCATTCTGGAACATCCGTCTTTGCCACCTTGTCTATTCCGCGCAGTATTTTTATATGTCGTTATCATGTCTCCCCTGACCCTCCTGGCCTCCAGTGTCGTCAGGCCGATTTCCCTCAACCTTTCTTCGTAGGACAATCCCGTAGCTCTGGGACTAGTCTTGTTGCAAACCTTTGCACTTTCCTAAATTTCTTGACGTGCTTGACTAGGTGTGGATTCCAAACTGGTGCTGCATACACCAGTATGGGCCTTGACGTAAAGGTATACAGGTCTTGAATGAATCCTTACTGAGGTATCGGAACGCATCCTAGTTTGCCAGGCGCCCGTATGCTGCAGCAGTTATCTGATTTATGTGCGCCTCAGGGGATATGCTCGGTGTTATACTCACCCCCAGATCTTTTTCCTTGATGAGGTTTGCAGTCTTTGCCATCTAAACATATTGTCCTGCGGTCCTTCTGCCCTTCGCCCATATCTTCATGACTTTGCATTGGCAGGGTTAAACTCAAGGAGCCAGTTGCTTGGACCGAGGCTTGCAGCCTGTCCATGTCTCTTGTAGTCCGCCTGATCCTCATGCCGATTTGATTCTTCACATTAACTTCACTCATCTGCAAACAAGGACACTTCTGAATCTATCCCTTCCGTTAGTCTTTCACATATACCAGAACACACAGTGACCTAGGACTGACCCCTGTGGAACCTCCGCTTGTCACAAGCCCCACTCCTGACACCTCGTCCACGTACCATGACTCGTTGTTGCGCCTCTCCCTGTCAGGGTCATTCTCTGATCCCTTGCATGCATTTCCTGTTATGTGTGCCTGATCTTCTAGCTTTTTTCAAGTAACCTCTTGTGATAAACTGGTCGAAGGCCTTTTTTGCAGTCCCAAAACAATGGCCGTCGATCCACTCCCTCTCCTCTCTTGTCTTACATCTGTCACCTTGTCATAAAACTCTAGTATTTTGTGAACAACAGGATTTTCTTCCCTGAAACCATGCTGGTTGACAATTATACAACCTTGTTTCTTTTCCAGTGCTCCACCACTCTCCTCCTGATGACTTCTCCATGACCTTGCATACTATACACGTTAGTGATACGGTCTGAGTTTAGTGCCTCATGTCTGTCTCTCCCTTTTTTAAAAATTGGGACTACATTTGCCATCTTCCGCATACGCTCAGGAGTTTGCCCAGTTTCAAATGATGTGTTGAAGATCTTTGTTAATGCACACACAATATCTCTGCTCCCTCTTTAAGGACCCACTGAGAGATGTTTGTCTGGTCCCACCGCCGTTGAGGTGGTCAAGTTCGCATAGCAGCTTCTTCACGTTCCCCTTGGTTATATTGTTACCTCCATCCAGCACGTGCTGGTGTAATAATACCCCCCTGTTCTGATTACCCTGTGTCCTACTGGTTTTCCACTGTAAATAACTCTTTAAGATCTAGTGTTGAGCTCCTGACATACCTCTCGGTCGTTGCTTGGTGTATTCCCCATCACCCTTTCCTCTTCTGGGGGTATTGCCTGGTCCTTGACTGTTGTTTTCCTCCTGCTGTGGCTGTACAACACTTCGGATCAGTCTTGACTTTCGATGCTATGTCATTTTCGTAATTGCCGCTGAGCCTCCCTTCTTATCTGTGGCATATACCGTTTCAGGCTCTTCGGCTAATCTCTTTATTTCCTGAGTTTCTCTGTCTTCTCTGACCTTTATCCATTCTCTAGTACACCTAGTTTTTGCCTCCCTACACCTTGTGTGAACCAAGGACTGACCCATGTCAGAGCAGGTCCATGTCCCCCCCCCCCCCCCCCCCCGATTAACCAAGACCCACCCCGATTATCCAATGATCACCCAGTCTGGTCATCCCCACCCGAGGATTGGAGCACTGTACCAGACCACCAGCAGCACGCCAAACTATGACTAACTCACACCCACCCACACCCACTCATGTATTTAACTAACCTATTTTATAAAACCACACATCTTTTAAAAGCCTCAATACCTGTACCTCGGGAGCTTGTCCACTCATCCACACCTCTATTATAAACCAAACCAGCACTTTCCTATATCCTTCCTGCATCTGAATTTTTCCAACTTGAAACCATTGCTCGAGTCCTGTCTTGGCTGGAAATTTTCAGCACACTATTTACATCCCCTTATTTATCCTGTTTTCCATTATACACCTCGACATATCCTCCCCTATATTCTAACTCCTTTCGAGAGAGTGCAGATTCAGTGCCCTCAGTCTATCCTCATAGGGAAGATTTCTTATACATGGGGATCATCTATGTCATCCTCCTTTGTACGGTTTTGCCAGAGCATTAATAACCATTCTGTAATACGGTGACCA